CAATGATGTGAAGGCTAAATTGGAGGATTTGAAGCCCATCCTTGAAGATATAAGGAGGCAACAACTCCAAACCTCCAGGGAAATTCTGTTCCTCTATGATGCTGCCATAAGGGGGAATGTAGCATTCATATATACCAGAGGGGAAGGAGTGAGTCAAGAGGCAGAGGAGGAAGAGTCTACCATAGAATCTACATGACTGCTTGCTTGACTTTGTTCCCTGTATTGTTGTAGTCTTTAGAATGTGGTGTAATTAGTAAGTAATGGGAGTGAGTGATCAGATCAGATTACTCATTTCTTGTCTTAGGTTTTAAGAACTGCTGGTTTAATAGAATGTGCTCTTCTTTATGAATATTTTAGATTCCATTTCTTAAACTACTCATTTTGTTGCTTACTAAATAAATTAAATGTATACTAATAAAAAAATATTTAATGCGTTGTTGACTTCTTGTATGGTGCTGTTAGTAGACGGGAGAATTTTTGTCGGTTAATAAACGCACTAGAGCTGTAACACCACCAAATTTCAGCATAATTTAACACCATTAAAGCTTATGAAATAAAGACAAGACTACCATTAATACCCGAACAGAGCGGAAGTTAAACATCAGAGTTGGGGTGCTATGCCACATCTAAGCTAGAGAACTTAGATGCACAGGCTAAACTAACTAAACAAAGTATAATCCATAATCATTAACCGAATACAAGCATGGCTCGCAGGCCGACTAACTAAGCTAATACTACTAAGCCAGGAACCGCAGCTCCTTTTATCGCGCTCTCGGTCCACTAATCAGTACCTGAAAAACATGCGGTATCACAACCGTTAGCGAATAATGCTAAGCAACCCACTTCCACACATTGAATATAATACATATAGATATAAGAAATCACTTTGAGACTTGGGAATACATAATATAGTCCTAAACGACTCTCGCTTTAAAACCAGGAATCAGGCTCAAGGCACACCAATAGACTCGACACGACAAGGCACATAAAGACACAGCATGCATCAAGATCACAAAGCAAGACAACAATAAGACTCGACAACAATAAGTAACACAAACATGTCCATGTTCCAACCTTATACCAAGTTCCAACCTTTACGCCTCTCCAACCTTATAACAGTTCCAACATGTACGTCCAGGCCACCCTACACACCACATCCTTATCCCTCCGAGGCACCGCATGCCCCCCGCCTACAAAACCTCCTACATAACCGTCGAACTCATAGCATCCGCGATGCCTTTAAATCACACACTGGTACCGTAGTACCATCACACACAAGCACGCGCAATGCATCAACCACCAATCATAGTTCTTACCACCAATCTCATATCTCATATCTTTTCTTTTCATCATAGATAACAACACATAAGCAAGACTCGTCAATGACTCCACAATGGGATAATCGGGAAGGGCACATCATGCACATTGACTCTCAACAACAAGCGCCCTCAAGGCGACCATAAGACACATAAAGACCACTTTAGACCATATTCTGGCACCACACAATACGAGTATGGACCACATGCAAAGACACGACTCACAATTCACATTTCGGCACAAAAGACATCATACTTGACCTGAAAACATTAACGAAGACACCATGGGTACGGGGTTTGACCCACGGAGACCGAACGAATCGCACCGGCCCGTACCCGCGAGGGTTACGGCGGGAAGGACAACCTCCCGCCGGCGGCGGTCCACGGTTCCAGCTAGAACACTTCCCACTTCCGGCGGGTGATTGAGTGGGGGTTCGTCCCCCCACCGACTACCCGCTGGAACATGTTCCTTGGCCAATTTTCCATCCCGTGAATTTCTCCAATTCCACCTAAAATCAAGTCCCAACACGCCCAAATACATATCAACAATTGTAGGGACTCGAACACATAGAATAAGCCAAGAAACAACACAATCGATCCCTAAACGCAAACTCTAAACATGCCAAGACTCAAGGATAAACACATAATGGTTCAAGAGTATCAAGAACCTCAAGAACATCAAGAAACAAATCATACAAAGACCTAATGACAAGCCCTAAACCTTGAATAACACCCGAACATGCATAAACCCACCCAAGAACGCCAAGAACGTTACCAATAACAAGATTCACAATATAAATCCTAAGGACAAGCTCTAAACATAATTAATTTCAAGAACATGCCAATATCTCCATGAATTATTACCACAAAAGACATCCATCTGTTTTGAGAATATACAGTATTAGTAGTCCAAGTTCAGAGAATAATTGTGTTGTAGTTTTTGAAGCAATTCATAGCAGGGTGAAGAAATGGATGGAGACGCATCATCCAACGACATATCCTATCAGGTTTATTTATATTATTATATGTTTTATGTTTTATTGTATGTATTTATTTTAAAATAAATATTTAAAAAAATGACTTCCGGAAAATGTTTTCCGAGTTTTTAGTGTTTGGCAAGAGGAGAGATAATGAGGTCAATGGAAAATGATACATTAGTCAAACGAAAATAGGTATGTTTTGGGGGAAAATGACTTCCCCTTGTTTTGGGGGAAAATGACTTCCACATGTCCGTTACGGGAGGGGCTATATGTGCACCGTTTTGATAATTGAGGGGCAACATTTACACCACTCATAATTCAGGGGTGACATTGATAATTGGCATATTATAGAGGGGTATTTTTTACAATTTTCCCTATATATATATATATATATATATATATATATATATATATATATATATATATATATATAGTGAAAGGTTCCCGTGCGGTTGAATGCTTCCCGTGCGGATGTGCGGTGGATTAATATGCGTGAGATTTGTACTCAATGTGCGTGAGTGTTGTTCTTAATATGCCTGAGATTTGTACTTAATGTGCGTGAATGTGTAAAATGCAGCAAAAAATATTGATGTCAGCTTCTTCTCCATCCCCAGTAGCCATTTCCTCCTCCCTGATGATGATGATGCGGAGGCGAGCTATGGTGGTTAAAAATTATGGGAATAATACAACAGAAATCCATACTTAGCTGCTGTGCAAATTTTACTGTGTGTGCGTCATTTATATAAACATTCAACTGCACTGAAGGTAGCTGATAATCCAGAATCCATGGCCAAATTGAAGGATGAAGTAACAAGAAGCTTGGGCGTTAATGTGCGTGAGTTTCTGTTCTGCTTCCTTCTGAACTCGTAATTCTGAAATACGCACGCACATTAAGTACAAATCTCACGCACATTAAACATAATACTCAGGCACATTAAGTACAAAACTTACGCATATTAACATGACGCGCATTAAGTACAAATCTCAGGCACATTGAGTACAAATCTCACGCACATTAAGTATAAACCTCACGCACATTAATCCACCGCACATCCGCACGGGAAGCAACAAATGCACCTGATCCCTTCACTATATATATATATATATATATATATATATATATATATATATATGTATATATAGGCGGGTTCAGGTGCGGCAGTGTCTTACGGTGCGACAACACCAATAGTTCACCAAATATGCACCATCAACGTTAGGAAATACACCACACAAAACAGAGTAAACAGAGCCCTGCATCACCAAACACACACCATTTGGTGTGAGTAAAAACACCATACACTGTTCGGAAATACACCATTGGGGGTGGTGAGTTATATGGTGTGTTTTTTTGAGTCTGTGGTGTATTTTGTGATGTTTTATTACATTTCATTGGGGTGTGTTTTTATTACACTGTTGGTGCATATTGTTAACACTGTTGATGTATTCTGAAATTTGACCGCACCGTAAGACCCCGCCGCATATGAGCACTCTTATATATATATATATATATATATATATATATATATATATATATATATATATATATATAAATATATATATATATATATATATATATATATATATACATACTACATGCAGTACGTAATATATAGACTATATATATCAAAAGAGTGCTATTCACAAAATAATTTTATCAAAAGTATCAAACAATTAAAATTTTGAAGTATTCAATTCTTTTCATTTTTCTACTCATTTTCTGAAAAACGAACCAAACATACAAAGACAGTTTTTCACTAGTGTCTGTTGTAGAAGGCAATAGGCGTCTATCGTACAATAGACGCCTATGAACCAGACGCTAAAAGTTACCACTTTAGGCTGACGCCTAAAGTCAACTATAGGCGTCTGTCCTTTGTCTTGAACTGACGCCTTCTTCGTTTTTAAGAAAAAAAATTATACTTAGGCGTCAGTTCTAGGCAGCATTAAATTCAATGCAGTTGTTGTTGTTGCGGTGTTCGGATAATATTGTAAAAGTCTGGAATCCAGTGTTGCAAAAGGTGCAGACATTATTGCCGAAGTCCTTGTCTTTATCTTCCCTTTCCCTGCACTCCAATTTTTATCAGCCTTCTTCCTGTTATTTGATGTGTGATGATAAACCTTATTTTTTTCCCATTATTCACAAGCAGAAGTAGGCTGAAATATAAAAAAAAATGTAATCAAATGATCAGTTCGTCCTTTTAAAAAAGAAAAAAAGATTATAGATAGAAATCATAAAAATTTTAGATCGAACAATACAGGGGAGGAAGATCAATCATATTATTTAATAATATGTTGCGTGAATTACCGTTTTGAGTAGAGGTGACCCTGGATTCTGTTTCGTGTTTAGTTGATTCTAAACTAGTTTAGTATTGGGTCGACTTTATCTTCTCTCAACTCACGACCAATTTAGGATAGATCAGACTTGGACTCACATTAGCCCTATATTAGGTAGTCTAGTCTTTCCTTATGATCAGAGACCAATAAAAATAATTTTCACCATTTAAATTGCCAAAAAGGTTTGAAAGTAGTGATTAAAAAAAAAATCAGTAGAAAATGAATTAATATCAATTGACAATTTAGAATTTTTCATAAACATATTATTTGTAAATATTGTAAAATTTCAGATTTCCCCAATATTGGTTTAGCAAGTATGAGAAATTGACAAAAAGATAAGGTGGGTACAACTATATATTAAACTACAAACTACAAATATCTTCCATCTTATATATCTCATAATATCCAAACGTTTAAACCAACAAAAAATGGCAACCTTCTTTGGATCCCCAACACTTGTACCTCGCCCAGCTACAAGAACCAACCACCTCTCCTCATCCTCACAGCCGCCGCCGTCTCAGCCACCAAACCAAGCCTCACCACCGCAAGCTCCTCCTCCTCAGCCGCCGCAACAACTGAGCTCAGCTTCTGCAGAGCCACCATTGGCGGCCAAGCCAGAGCAATTAAAGCCTAGCAGCAAGCCTCAACGCTCAACAACTGTGGAATCCACCGATTGGATTGCCTCTAGCTTGACTAGGAGGTTTGGGCTCGGCGCCGGCCTTGCTTGGGCCGGATTCTTGGCCTTTGGAGTCATTTCTGAGCAGATCAAGACTAGACTTGAAGTGTCTCAACAAGAAGCAAATACTAGGTATATATAGTATGTATACACAAAAAGAATTTTAATCTAATCTAAGAATATATATATAGTGAAGATTTTAATGTATGGCAGTTGGATTTGATCTTCTTCTGGATTTGTGATGTTTCTTGTTTAATTTATGTGTTGATGGCTTTGAGGCACTCTAACTGTTTGATTATTTTTCTCAGAGACGTTGAGAAGGAAGAAGAAGTGGTCTTGCCTAATGGCATAAGGTACACTTCTTTTACAATATAATGCAATTATAATTATAGGATTTTTCGTCCAATCATGTATAGTATACTTAATTGTACTCATACTATTTTTTGTATAATGATATATGTTGATAGTATCATATAGAATAAAAATAATACTCCGCGTATGTAATTGTACTCTATACTATTAACATTAGCACCCAATTAATGAAAGCAACATCATGAGGAGAAAGTTTGGAGGTAAAAATCAGGAGGGAAAAGGAGTATTTTCCATATATGTATTACCACAAACAGCCAATTTCCTATGGCCCTGTTTGGTAAATGGCCGTTAGCTGTTAGCTGATTCTGTTAATTAGAGAGTATAACTAGTTGATAACATTAGCTGTTGTAGAAAAGTGTTTGGTAAATTAACTGTTAGCTGATAGCTGTTTGATATAATTTCTTTTCTAAAAAAACTAATTTAAAAAGTTGTTTGGAGTAGTTTTTTTAATTTTAGCATTTTGGAGTTACAAAAAGCTAATTAACCAAACACTTACAATATTTTAACTAAATCAAACAATTAATAGTGATTAAAAAAGCCAAAATTGGTCTATAGGCCAATTTTTTACCAAACAGGACTATAATATACCTTTCTACGCACTTACCAAATATATCGGTACGTATGGAAATTAAATTTTATTTGAAAATTCGTCGGTATTCCAATTTAGCGAGATTAGTCCAGCTAATAACTTTAGACATATGAAAATTCATCGCTAATGATCTTTTTGACAAAATTTAACTGGTTTCTGACATATCAAAGTAGGTTAGAAATATGTTTTTTTTTTTTTTTTTTTTGGGGGGTAGGGAATTAGGAATGATCACTAGTAAGAGCTTAGTAGTAACTTTGGATTATTAGTCTTTATATTTCTTGCCTAGTCTTTATATATGCTTGTGTAATTATTTAAAATGTTTGTATTGTAATAATGGCAATTAAGGTACTATGAATTAAGAGTGGGTGGTGGCGCAATACCCCGGCCGGGGGACTTGGTGGTGGTTGATATCAAGGGAAGTGTGGAGGGCAGTGGAGAAGTTTTTATAGACACATTTGGTGGTGAGAAGAAACCTCTTGCCCTAGTAATGGGGTCAAGACCTTATAGCAAGGGCATTTGTGAAGGCATAGAATATGTTCTTAGAAGTATGAAGGCAGGAGGGAAGAGGAGAGTGATCATTCCTCCAAATCTAGGGTTTGGGGAAGAAGGGGCAGATTTGGGACCAGGACTTGAGATTCCACCATCTGCAACCCTTGAATATGTTATTCAACTTGATAAAGTTTCCATTGCTCCAGCTTGAATTTTTTTCATTTTCATTTTCATTTTCTTGGAAATATACTACATACTAACAAGTTTAATTTTATGGTAAGTCCAATATTTTTCAGTATTAAATTCTCTCTTATTATTAAGTTGATAGATGGAACTTTTCTATCTGTAAATATGCCATTCAGATCACTTTCTGTCTCAATTTAATCCCAAGTTTTGATTTATATACCACCCAAAATTGTATATATAGTCATTTGGAATGAATAACAAGTTCATTTGATGTTTACATATTCACTCCAACATTAATGCTGACATTAGTTTGTGACATGCTATGCCCATTTTATAAAATGAATTGTATATTGTATATTGTATATGTTACATATAATAAAGCTATATGGTTGGGAAGTAATTAATGTTACAATTAATTACCAACATTATTATTATTACTAGCTATAAATATAAAATAGCCACAACATCTTTTACTATATAAAAAAAAAAAAAAAAACACAACATTTGAAAAATAAAATAGCTATTTTTTTTCTCGCCCATAACAAAGGATTACATTTATTGAATTAATGGAGTTATTAAATGTTATGATATTAGGATTAAGGATTCCGATTCCCGATTAATAGAAAATATGAAACGATGCAATATTAATTAAATCTCTGGCTTTACCATGAAAGTCTATTTGATATGCTTTTGTTATTCATGATGGTCCTTGGGATTACAATATTAATTAAATTTTCGATGAAAGCCTATTCGATATCTGAAAAATGCAATTAATGCAAGCCTCTACATATAATTTTTCTCCCTCTCAAATGCTTCAAGAAAATGGCAGAAGCGAGAAGGGATGAAGAAAGCAAATGTTGCGGGCCGTGGGTCAATTATTGAACTTCAGAATAAAAAAAAATCATTTAAGCCATAAATAAAAATTTAAATATATATAAATGTATATATCGTATGTGTCTTTAATATTTTTCTGGATGTCTAAACTTAGGACTTTTAAAAAAAAATACATTTGAATTATCTCCACAAAAGTGGTCTTGGACTTATAAAATGACATTTGAGTTTATGAAATGCCATGTGCATAAAGAATATATTATATAATCATATAAAAAAAATGTGTTCAATTAGAGTTTAAATTTACTCATACAAAATTTGAAATTTGCTTTCTAAATGTAATTATCTTAGTTATTATTCGTATTGTGAAAATTATAATATAGATGAAATACAATTAAGAATAAATCAATGTAATTATGTAAATTCTCTCTATAAGTTTATTTGAATATATACATAATTAGAGATTATATTAACCATACAAAAATTTAATTATAATTTTGTATTCTATAAAAATAATAAATATTTGACCAATGGAAGCTCAAAAATATTATTATATTAAACAATTTAAAATATTTTTAATTTTTCTATTTTTTATTTATATTTATAATAACATAATTTTTTTCCCCGTGAATCTCACGGGTGAATTACTAGTTGTTGGTTATATCATGGGCTTAATTATTCGATGGCTCAAAGAGCAAATTATACCATGGATCAAGTCTACCTTGCATTATAGACTCTCACTCAAAATGACGTTCAGATTATGAAAATACTTGGGTGAATATGATGTATGGTTTCATAAAAGTGTTGATTCATATTAATATGTTTTGATCCCAGATTACTTGGTATTATTTTTTTTGTTGGATCACGAGATGTCTTAAGCAGGTCCTAACTGTACTCAAATTAATCTCTATTCACATGGGGCGGTCCAATTAAGGGGCAAAGTAGTGGTCAATTAGTTTTTCCATGCAAGATGGGGTTTGAACTCCCGATCTCTTTCAATGGATGAGAGTGCACGGTCACTCACGCCAACCAAGTGGGTTATCCTAGATTAATTTTTATTAACAATAATTTTATTAGTAAAAATTCAATAGTATTTTATAATGATATATTTTTAATTATTTAAATACAAATTTTTTTGATAGTCAACTAGAACCATACAATGAGACTAATTCTATTCATATTTTTCAAGATGCGAAAAACCTACATATCTTGACATGTCATTCACACTCCATATGTGTATTGAGATTAATTTAATAAAGTTACATTTTGTTTTAAGTATTTAATTAATTGTTTTTATATCACAATATTTGTAAAATATTACAAAATGAAGATAGATGGTGGCATAACACTATGACTAACGAGGGAAAATGACTCATTGAATGGGTTTTTTTAACAGTTCTTTAACAGTTGGGACTTGGGAGGTGGGTTTTTTTTTTTTTTTTTTTTCTAAAAATTTTTTCTGCTGCAAATTCAAGATTTTTGTAGGACACAAAGGAAAAAGTATAACAAGTTGTAGGTGTGCGTTGGGGCAACTGGACGTGTAATTAGCATTGGCAGTTTTTTTTTTTTTTTTTTTTTTTTACTTTTTGTATTTTTTCTTTTCTTTTGAGAGTTTGTTCATATACAAAAGTCAAAAATAAGGAGGGGTTTTTTAACTGCGGGGGAGTGGGGTGTTTTTTTTTTTTTTTTTTTTTTTTTTTTCAAATTTATTCTTCTACAAATGCAAAGTTTTGTGGAACCCATTATATTAAAAAAAAAGTGTAAGGTAATAGGAGGATTTTACACAGATTTTAAGAAAAAAATGATAAGGTGAAGGAGAAAAGAAAGAGTAGAAAGAGGAATAGAATTGTTATGTTATTTAGGAGATTTTATTCGTGGTGGGGCCCATTGTATTAAATAAACAATTACAGCCAAGGCTACGTGAAGGCCAAGTAGCGCCCAGTCTGGCGCGTGCACTAGCGGGGTGTGTTAATTAAAGCTGTGACTGTTTGTTTGTTTTTTTTTCCTTTTTTTATTTTCACATCATTTTCTCTTTCCTAATCATACATGTAAAATTCTCTCAAAATCTTCACACTATTAAGGATGCCCTAACAAGCTCCTACATGCCTATAATTAAACTTGATAATTTTTTTTTTAAAATACTCATAATTTTTTACAAAATAAAATCTGTTTTATACTTTGTAAATTATTTTCAGTTCAAAGCTCCATCATTCGAGTTCAATCTTGAACCATCCCTTTAGAATGGTGAAAGAGGTGCATCCCACCATAAGTAGAAGAAAAGAAAATTATAATCTTATCCTAAAATTAAGAGGAAATAAGAAGATATTTCATATTTCACACCAAATTCGGTCGGTCCATAAAATTATGGCAAGAGGTAATTGAAGTTGGAAGAAGATGATGGCCATGGGAGCCGTTTCTCATTTCTTGGCACTCACTGCCATTGTTACTGTAAGCACTCTTTTTGCTCTATCCTATATGGCATGCGACCCGACCCGACTTCTGTTATGGGTTTGTTTACTGTAATTGATAAGTGTTGGTTCTATTTCTTGTTGTTGCAGGTTGCTTATCAATTGTTGTTCTTCATAATCACAGCGATTCTCAAGTTCGATAAACTCACTGACTTTGCAGGTAAACTCATACTATTACTTATCCTTTACTTGTTTGGTTTCTTTCTTAGCTTGCTGTTGAATCAGACTATATCTCAAGTTCTGAGCTATATTTGGTGGATTCCTATTTCCTAATGCATAAGTTATAAATTTCTTCTTCTCCAATATGTATTTATGTATATATATATATTAGTATATTTGACAAATTCTGTCCTTAAAGCTCAACTTTTTGGTGGTTAAGCCTATTACTTTTTTGACGAGCTCTAAGCAACATGGATCATAGTTTCTTTTATCGGATAGAGGTGGGATTTGAACCCATGACCTCTTGTATGGGGTTGGCTCTGGTACTAAATTGAATGAATGTTGTGTCACAACTAAAAGTTGAAGCTGATAGTTAGATTGCACATTTATGTGTATATATGGTCAAACAGTTAGTTCTGAATTTCTGCCAATTATTAGTGAAAACTAGGTTGATATTCGGCTTGCTTTTGTTTTGGTGTAAATGTTGGACTCAATGCAGATATGTCAAACATGTCTTTTGGACCTGTCAAACAAATATGGTGTCTTGATTTATTTCTGCTTTTGTGGCCATAAGTTATTCGGTGATACTTTATAATAAGATCACGACTTTCGTATCATTGTTTATCTGCTTTCGTCCTTCTACTTTAACAGGAACCACAAATTTCATCCTACTTTCAATATTAACCTTAGTTCTTAAGGGTTCTTGGCATTTTCGACAGGTAAGCATTTCATTTGAATCTTCAATTCCCTCAATTGACTTTCCAAACTTAAACTAATATTTTCTTTAAACTTGGTATAAAGTATAAATCAGCATCTAGCAATTCTCAATTTACAATTACCCCAGATTACTCTTTCAGGTGATTTTATCTGTGCTGGTAGTAATATGGGGTCTTCGGCTGGGACTGTTTCTTTTAATGAGGTAAGATAGTGATATTTTGAAATTTTAGCATAACTTGCAACTGATGCTAAATAGGTTTTTGGTCTTTGCTTCTTCTGAAGGATATTGCAGTGGGGAGAGGACCGACGTTTTGATGGAAAGCGTGATCAGTTAGGGAGATTGGCAATATTTTGGACATTTCAGGTTCTATTGAGTATTTCCCCAATGTGAAACTAAAACATGTAAATATCAGCTGGTTAAAAAATGACCGGTAGTGTGATACTGAAAAAAATTGTTTTATTCTTGCAGGCCATCTGGGTGTGGACTGTTAGTTTACCTGTGACAGTCATTAATGCAAGCGACAATCAACCGTCTCTTCATGCTGGAGAAATTATTGGTTGGATTATGTGGTCCCTTGGAATTTTAGTCGAGATTATCGCTGATCAGCAAAAGTTGAAATTTAAAAGTTCGCAAGAAAACAGAAGAAAATGGTGTAATGTTGGACTTTGGAAGTACTCTCGTCATCCTAACTACTTCGGTGAGGTTAGGCCATACATTATCTTTTATTTACTACTTAATGTAAATCTGTTTTAACCATTCCTCTATTATGCTGCTATGATGAAGGGTAAATCTACAATTTCCCTTTTGGTTTCTTCTTTCTGCTATAACTTCTAACGACCAGGTAGAGAATTGTTACGAGTCCCACATCGAAAAAAAATATAAGAGACCATATAGGTTTATAAGGTCATGGTTAGACTAATTAATTGATTGGATTCAATTTTTTAGTGTGGTTAATCTGTTTTATCCATGCCACTATGTAACTCGATTTACATTTTTCCCTCCATAACATTAAGCATAGAATGTTGCTTCTTGTAATATACCTTATTACATGTTCTCAGATCATTCTCTGGTGGGGAATTTTTGTGGCTTCTACCCCAGTGCTAGAGGGTGCTGAATGGTTAGTCGTGTTTGGACCAGTTTTTCTTACGCTGCTACTGCTTTTTGTTAGCGGCTTACCATTGCTTGAGGTACCACTATTGGCTTTTGTTGTTGTATTTAAAGCGTTACATATATATCACAATCACACTCGTGAAGACCGAAGACGTGAACTCATTGTTATTGTCACACAGGAATCAGCAGACAAGAAGTTTGGGAACGTTGCTGCTTACCTCTCATATAAAAGAACAACAAGGTGACCATAGTTATAATAATTCTTTACTCGCCTCATAATTAGTGGAAACTTGAAATATAAGTGCCAAAAAAACAATTTTCAGCCCACTCGTTCTGCTGCCTCCGGGAGTATATGGGAATCTGCCCCAGTGGTTCAAAACATCTGTCCTTTTCGAGTTTCCTTTGTACAACAACAATCTCTCCAAGAAGAGCTAAGTTGATAAAGGTTTGTTCAAATAAAGACGACGTCTATTCCTTCCCATACTTGTTCATTTTTCCACTATCTGCAATTGTTGTCAAACTGGGCATGTTTACATGGGTTCTATCTTCAACTAACCAACCCTTTACAATATTGCAAATATTGATATATTGACCTACTATATATATATATATATATATATATATATATATATATATATATATATATAATCATAATTAGGTGATAACCAACCTTAACTTGCGAACATGCGAACTTCTGTGTGGCTGTGTGGTTTGCGCCTTTGCCGACTGCGTAGCTTTACATAGAAGCAGAGAGTTAATATAGTGTACACTCTCCTTAAATTCTTGTCACTTCTCTAATACCTTAATTTTATTGAAAAAATCTTCATTTTCTAACCACTAAAATGAGATCATAAAACAAGAGTTGTGGGAAAAAAAAAAAGTAAAAATGGTAATAACTCCTACCAAACAAAGAGGCTAACCTATTTCTCTATCATACCCTGATTTTTCCAAGGAACTCTTTGGTCCCCATCCTCTATCAAAACTTCAATTCATAATAAGGCCAATGTGTTGTGGCATTTTGCATCCCTGTTCAAAAGGGATATGAGAGTAAGGGCGTGTTTGGTTTGCTGGAAAATATTTTTTATGAAAAATGTTTTCTTAAAAGTGAAGAAAAATAGTGTTTTATATTGTTTGGTTGGATAAAAAATATTTTTCATTGGAAAAAGTTTTCTTAGGTATTTTGTTTTCCATAGAAAATTAGTATGACAATTTTGCCCTTACCATATTTTATTATTATTATTATTATTATTATTATTATTATTATTATTATTATTATTATTATTATTATTATTATTATTATTGTGTAGGGTTATATTTGTCATTATACCCATTATTTTACCATTCTAAATCCAACCAAAGTACCAAACAATAAAATTCATATCCTTAGTAATTTCTTTTCCACCACCCAACCAATAGAATTCATTTTCTTGAAATTTATTTTTAATGAAATTTCAATTTCATTCCTCTCCAAATAAGAGTCTCAAAATGGATTGGAGCACTTGAACTATCTTATAAGGTGGGTATGGACTTACGAAAAATAAAATGGCAAATTATGCCCTGGACCCGTGTCCAGATTGAATTGTGGACACGGGCCCAAAACGACGTCGTTTTTTAAAAAAAAAAAACGCGTCATTTAGTTAAAAAAAAAAAAATCGCGTGCGTTTTGTCGTTAACGGCGTTATTTTTTTTTGGATTATGAATGTACAGTTATGCCGTTATGAATATACAGTTATGCAATTATGAAATTATGAACACAGAGCTCTAACATTATGAACTTACAATTATGAACATATATAGTGATAAAATTATGACCATGAAGCTTTAAAATTGTGAATATAGAGCTTCGAAGATTATGAATGTACAGTTATGGAGTTATGAATGTACAATTATAGAGTTATGAATCTACAGTTATGGAGTTATGAATGTACAATTATAGAGTTATGAATCTACAGTTATGGAGTTATGAATCTACAGTTATGAGATTATGAATCTACAGTATGGAATTATGAATGTACAGTTATTGATCGAATTATGAACAAAGAGCTCTAACATTATGAACTTAGAATTATGAACATATAGTGATAAAATTATGAACATAGAGCTCTAAAATTGTGAACATAGAGCTTCGAAAATTATGAATGTACAATTATGGAGTTATGAATGTACAGTTATGGAGTTATGAATGTACAGTTATGGAGTTATGAACGTACAGTTATGGAGTTATGAATGTATAGTTATTAACATATATTAATAAAATTATGAACATATACTCTTACAATGAAGCGGTCTGAAATTAAAAAAAAAAAAAAAAAAAAAGGAGATAACAGTGCTTAACGGCACTGTTACCCGTGTCCAGCAAGTATGCTGGACACGGGTCCAACGCATAACGATTGAAATAAAATGTTGACTTGTGAAAAAATGGATTTTGCAAGCTCAACTCATGTGGCTTCATGGACAGTGGGCCAAAATTAATTTGTTTTCTTAAAATATGAAATGTTGTAGGTACATTATTGTATTCATTCATAATTTCATATACCTTTCAAATCACATCATATAATGTATTATATTATATATTATTCGAGTTAATTTCAACAATGGTCTTCCGATTATGTTGATTTTTCACAATTGATCTCCAACTTTTAATTTGGGCAATTTAGACCACCGACTTCAAATTCTTTCTAATGTTGGTCCTTCCGTCAGATGAAGGTTAAGTGGACGTCAATTTGAGAGGTAAAAACGTCCTTTCAAGTATTGAGTGTATATATATTTCCTCTTTAATCAGTTCAGGAAATTATAAATTGCAAGAGAGCAAAGGCCAGAGGTCGCCGGGTCTCCTGGTTGCTGCCTTCACCGGAGGTCGCCGCCGCTACCGAGCCTTGTCGCTGGAAGAAGTCTCTCTCTCTATCTATCACCGCCAACTGGTAAAAACACGAAACCTCTTATGGAATCTTGGTCTTAAAACACAGTCCTAAAATGAAGTCAAATTTAGTTCCTTTTGTCAAATCAGACTCTGTCGAACTGGGTTTTGGCTATGGTTGAAAATTTGGCTTCCGGAATTTTCTGTTTCTTCTTGCGACCGGAGATATCTTGCGATGGTGGATGAATTTTTCTGCTCTTGCCGCACAACCCCCTGTGAATCTATGGTTCTGCTACTATAACTTGCAGCAGTGTTGCAAAAATCGCGCCTAGGCGCTAAGCGGTCGGCTTCCTAGGCGTTCTAGGCGCCTGCCTAGGCGTTCTAGGCGGTCCCCAGGCGCCTAGAGAGCGCCTAGCGATTTTTTCAACATTGACTTGCAGGGTGATTAGCGGCAATGGTGAAAAAGTAGGGAGAAGAAAACAATGGTGAAAAGTGAACAATTGGGATGGAGATTTGTGTATCCCTATGAATCTATAATCTACTGCCACTGGGTAAAAATCCCACTGTATTTACTGTAATTTTTTTGAAATCTGGTGTTTTACAAGGGGGATTGCCGAGTATACAAGACAAGAGAGGTCTCACCTTTAGAAACTAGGTTTACAGATTATTGGCAATTTACGGTTCAACCAAGTAGATTCTCGTAACCACAAGATTCCAAACGATGTCTCCGGCGACGTTCTTAGCCAAACGCTCTTTAGTCCTTGTCCTCGGCCGAGTCTTTTTTCAGTCCTTGTCCCAATGATGTCTCCGTTGACGTTCTTAGCCAAATTTTGGTTCAACGAGTCCAACTCGAACTTTCCGAGCCTGAACGGGTGGAACCCATAATTTAAGGTCCTGAGCTGGCGCTTACTTCCATAAATCCTTGGTTTGACCTCCCGTAGTGGTCCTTGCTTTTAAGAAAGCTTTAGGGGCCAATTTCTCGAACTTTCCGAGCCTGAACGGATGGAACCCATAATTTAAGGTCCTGAGCCGGCGCTTTGGTCGAAGAACAAAGCCTAAACATAATGGATCTGAGTAGTTGAAATGACTACTTTACCCTTTAATTTAAGGTCCTGATACGGTATTCAAGCCAAGACCCTAACTCCACCATAAAAGCTAGGACTCTTCCCTCCGCTAGGCTGGCACCGGATGAGTGCCCTTTGAACTTTATCAAGCACCCGGTAGCCCTCTTCCAGGTAGCCCTTTTCCACCACACTCTGACCTCTCAATGAGGTTTGGCCCCGACTTAAGTGCCACTCCACAATCTCTTGTGGAGCCGATGTGGGATCGTATCACGTTCACTTAACTTTCATCTAACGAAAGGACCAACATTGAAAGAATTCAAAAGTCAAGTGTCTAAATTATCCAAATTAAAAGTCGAGGACCAATTGTGGAAGATTAATATAGTCAGAAGACCATTGCTGGAATTAACTCTATATTATTCATGGTGTATGATAAAAATTAGTATTTTTTTTAGTACTATTGACTCTGTTACAATGTAGTAGTATCATAACCTCCCATTTGGGTGAGTCACTTCATGCCACTAGATCACAAAGTCATTGGCATGATAAAAATTAGGAGTTAATTCCAGCAATAGTCCTCCGACTATTGTGAATTTTCAAATTTGATCCTTATCTTTTAATTTGGACAAAATAAACCCTTGGCTATCAGAATTGTTCCACCCATTGGTCCTTCTCTTAACTAAGAGTTAGATAGACGTTAGTGAAGGGCTAAAAAGGTCATTTTCTCTACTGAGTTTCTTCTTCCTGATCTCTTGGGCTTTCCTGGATACTTGTAGTAGCAGATCAGAGCCGCAGAGTGATCTGCAGCAAGAGTTTGCAAGTCACGTTGAGGAACTCCAAAAGAATTTGCAAGGAGCCCACAAATCATCTCATTTTCAAATGCATGGATTGTGTCTTGATCAAAAACTTCATTGGAGCCCCAAAACTGCACAATTTTCTGTAGTCGTGACTGGTTTTCTTCCTTGTTTTGAGGATTATGGTAAATCCTTGATGTACGTACATTTATTGCTACCTATATATACTATATCAACATTTCATTAAGTTTTACCAAACTAACAGTAAACTAAACTTTTTTTTAAAAGCCACACTGTGTTTCTGCATATATCTATCCTTGTTGTTTTCAAAATATACATTAGTGTATCATCATATCTGAATTGCAAGGCCAAATTTTGGATTGTGCAAGCTGCGGGCCCAGCTCAATATTTAGTTTTTACTTAGCTAGTTTAGAAATAAAAACTAAAAGTTTTCAATTAAACTTAAAAAGGCTCCATGAAGAAATGGTAGGAATGTGCGTTTATTATATTTTAACTTGGAGGTCAAAGTTTTGAAACTTGCATGCTGCTTCGACTTTGGAGTTTGGACATCTCCTTATTTTTTTAAATCTTTTTGCATTGCGAGTTTGCGTACATTATTATTATTATTATTATTATTATTATTATTATTATTATTATTATTATTATTTATTTATTTATTTCATAATATGTCTTTTGGCTTTTTCTTTTAGCAAAATAACATTTTCCCACATTATTATTAGAAAAAATTAGGATATTTGTTTTAAAGATTGTGAGTTTAGTAGGGCCTCATTTATTTACTAGAACATGACTATAAAAATCTAAAACCTGACCCTGCTGAATTGCATAACTAAAGTTTTTGGAAAGAATTACAAAGTTGTCTGCCGATGCACAAACCATGTTTCCTACCGCATATTTACATCTCCGATTTGATGTTTCCTACAGCATATCTTCAAATTGGTACTTCAATTACTTCATTTGCTCTCACGTGCATGTGCCTTCTACAGATCCACGTGATTTAATTTGGGTCTAGCTGATATCCACTGCTCGTGCGGCAGCGGCAAGTGGTCACCTGTGTTGGAGTTGTAAAACCCTCCGGTCGAGAAATGGATATACATTAGGGGGGCTCTGATCTAGCGGAAGCAGCTTTGGCCGTCCACAACAGCATGGAAAACTGTGAAATCGAAGATTGTCTGCAACGTCACTGCCGTGTAGGTTTTCGCGAAACCACTTCCAGTTGCTTTCTCAAACCAAGATATCAGTAAGTGCATTTGCTGATGATATTGTCTATACCTCTACTCTACCTACAAAAATTATGAAATTTAAATGATCAAGATTGGAATGAATTTGACTTTTTTGAGTGACGAGGATGATTTGAATGTTTACGAGCTTAGTGCTGCAGTTTTTGCTGCTACTCTCGACTTTGGTTTGTCCCACGTCGGTGACTCGAAGGAGTCTCGGCGATACTTTGGCTTGGGAATCAGCACCTTTGGGTGATTCAACGTCAGCTTTTATTCCTTTGCTGACATTAACTACCTCCTTAAGGAGCTCGTATGCTACCTTCAAATACTTGGAACTAAAAATCTTGCTTTGAGCGCCATTCACGCCATTGAAACGAATGGGAAGAAGATATCCATTATATGAATAGACACTTTTACCCTAGCTTTTAACACCTAACTAACGCTAGGTTCACAGGAGGACTAATGGTGAAACGATTTTGATAGTCAATGGTTTAATTCGTCCAAATTAAAAAACAATGACTAAATTTGAAAAATTACTATAGTCAGAGGGCCATTACTGGAATTAACTCAAAAAATTAATATTTTTTTTTTTGAAAGTGGCTGGCATGGCATTTATTCAAAATATTCCGAAATAGAGTCGGGAGGAACATAGTCCGAATACATAGTAGTAGCGTGAATAAAAGCAGAAGAAGCTAAACTATGAGCTAAATAGTTCTCTAATCTAGGAATAAAAATTACTGGGCAATAATCAAAAGAGACGATGCGTGCTCTATAGGCATCAACGGCATAGCCAACATAAGTTCGGAGTGAGGTAGTTGCGTTTGACAGGTATTGCTTTAACGTTAAAAAATCTGTGAATAATTTTATCGATTGTTCCCCACGACCCCATAGCCAAGACAAGGCTTCTTTGCATGCAAGTGCTTCGGCCATAAGCGGAGAAAGACAGTCCGGCAAGAGTGCACTGAATGCCGATATATATCCCCCCTCTTCGTCGATCAGGACCGCCCCCACCGTGGCTTTTCCGGTGGTTGGCATAAAACCAACGTCGAAATAGCATTTTCGTGCTGGCTCGTGGTGATCTGGCGGCACTGACTCGGCTTCGACAAGGGTTGTTTGCTGCTGTACGGGCGTCGTGGTAACGGCAGAGTGGTGCGCCCCAGGGGCCGTCGGTCCATGCAGGTTGTGCCGACACGGATGGACCTGACTCCATGCATGCACCACGGCATTGGCCGAAGCAACCACCTTTTGCGGCCACGGCAGGTACGCATCCCATACCGCTCCGTTTCTGGTTCTCCAAATATAGTATAAGATTGCAGCTGCGTGAATAATCTGGTCAGTGTCTAAAATATTTAATAGATCACTAAACCAAGTATAAAAAATATGTGTTGTAATCATGGGGATTGGAAGGTGAGATTGAGCCCAAATGGAACTAGCATAATTGCATGTTACTAAAGCATGCATTGTATCTTCATTCATAATCCCACACACGGCACATGTAGGTTGAATTTTCACTCTCTTTATAATCAAATTTGCTGTGGTAGGGAGAATATCATTCAAAGCTTTCCACAAAAATGTTTTCTATTTGGGGGGATTTTGAGCTTCCATAAACTCACCCAGTTATCAAACACAGTTGCAGTGTTATCATAATTTCCAACAATGTGCCTGTAGCCACTTTTCACAGTATAATTACCTCCCTGATCCCCATGCCAATACCACATGTCCTCATAGTCCGGTGATACTGGTATTTTGGATATACGAGCTACACCGGGTTAAAAATATCCGCCAGAATATTCTGATCCCAGGTTTGTATTTCCTTATCTATCAGTCCCATAACAGTTGCATCGTTCAAATAAGGGGGCTTTTCTGTGTGGATCATTGGGTCCTGCTGGTCTTGGAGCCATAGGTGATCCTAAATAAGAGTTGTTTCTCCATTCCCAATTCTGCGCCTGACACCACCACAAACCATATCCTGTGCCGCCATAATACTGCGCCAGCAGAAACTGGAATTATTTCCCATACTAGCATTATAAAAGGTCCCTTTTGGGTAGTACCTTGCCTTATAAACCCTTGAGACCAAAGAGTCAGGTTTACCTAGCATTGCTATGTTGAAAGCATGTAACTCCTTAAAACCCAAACCTCCATACTTCTTTGGTATACACAATCTGTCCCAGGCCTTCCAATGGATACCCCGATCATTTCCAGTTCCCCACCAATACCGGTTCATTGTCCGCTCAATTGCTGTGCAAATCCCCACAGGTAATAAGAAAACACTCATTGAGAAGGTAGGCATAGTTTGGGCCACACTTTTCAATAAGGCTTCTTTGCCAGCTTGTGACAACAATTTTTTATTCCATGACACTATCCTCAATATATGAAAAAGTTGCCTTCTTATTTCTCCCTATGAAAGAGGGGAGACGCAAATATTTCCCAATGAAAGAGGGGAGACGCAAATATTTCGCAAAATTGGGAGCCTGGGCAACTCCCAGAATCTGTGCCACATTATCTTTGTCCTCCTCCTGCGTGTTTTTGCTATAGCATATACTAGACTTGTGGTAATTCACCACCTGCCCAGAAAAATTTTCATATCGTGCTAAACACTGTTTTATCACATCTGCCTCCTGAATATTTACTTTAAAGAACAATAAACTGTCATCCGCAAAAAAACAGATGAGAGATAGGGGGTGCACCTCTCGCAACTCTACACCCATGTATCAGTCCTTGTGTCTGTGCCTGCTGTAGTAGTACAGAAAGTCCCTTTGCACAAATAATAAAAAGATATGGGGACAAGGGGTCGCCTTGTCTCAGCCCACGGGTCGGGATGATAGGCGTGCTTCTAGAGCCATTCAACTTTATATTGTAAGACACAGTAGTTACACACATCATAATTAGATCCACCCATCTATTATCAAAACCCAATGCTATTAACATACTACGCAAGAAGGGCCACTCCATGCGGTCATATACCTTTGCCATATCCAACTTTAAGGCACCCCACCCAACTACACCACACTGCTTTTTGTTTAAATAATGGTCAACCTCTGCAGCAATTAGAATATTATCTGTAATCAATCTGTCAGGTATAAAGACACTCTGTGTATCAGAAATTATTTCATCCATTAATGGCTTCATCCTGACTGTAATCATTTTACCCATAACCCTGTATATCACATTACTCAAAGTTATGGGTCTAAAATTTGAGACTAGCTCAAAAAATTAATATGATTCTTCGTATTCCTCAAAAAATACATATATATCTTAACTTTATTTTTTGAATATTATATCTTAATTAAATGAAGCGAACTTCATTATTAAAAATCCAAATTCTGGGCTTTCATGTAAAAAACGAATACAAACTGTGATTATTAAAAAAAACCATTACCATTAAAAATATAGTTTGTATAAGTTAAAAATTATATATATTTTTTAATTTATACGTTCAATTATAAAATGACATGCAATATAATCATCTTATTTTTCTATTTCTTACTTTTTAAAATATGCACTTTTTTCCATTTCAAAATAAGCGCATAAAAAATCGATATTAAAGAATTTTCATTCTTTAGAGTAACCTCATTAGATGTGGATTTTATTTGATTTTTGCAAAGATGACTAGGAGAGAGAACTTAGAACGCGGAGAGAAGGGAAATGACTAAAAAAGAAAAAAAAAGCAAAGGAACTAAGGCGCCTAGTTGGTGCATGCAATGCACGCGCTTGCTGGGCGCGCATGAGTTACGTAACATTGAGCCCCAAAAATCAATTTTTACAAGGCAACTTCAACCTTCTCTCCACTCTCTAATCTCTTCCACATGAGCAAAAATGCTACAAAAATCTCCCAAAAATGACAAATGAGGAGTCTCTTAATTATGGAATTTTTAATTTAATTTAGGAATAAGGGTCAAATGGGCCATCGAATTGCACCCAATAATGCAATTAGGTCACCGAACTTTAAAAAGCAACAATTAGCTCCCTGAACTAACTAATTCTATTCAATTAGTCCAATTTGTAGGTTTTGAAGGTTGTTAGCAGGTCACCCCTAATTTATAATATTTTAAAAAAATTATTATTTAAAATAATTATTTTAAAAAAAAAAAAAAAAGAAGAAGATATCGTCTCCGGCCATGGAGACGAAGACGGAGAAGGTTTCTTCGTCTCCGTCTCCATGGCCGGAGACGAAGAAACCTTCTTCGTCTCCGGCGTGTCGATCTGTTTTTTTTTTTTTTTTTTAATTATTAATATTAAATAATTATTTTAAATAATAATTAAAAAAAATTTTTGAAAAGGGGTGACCTGCTAACAACTTGGAAACCTATAAATTAGACTAATTGAATAGAATTCGTTAGTTCAGGGACCCAATTGTAGCTTTTTAAAGTTCGGTGGCCTAATTGCATTATTGAGTGCAGTTCGATGGCCTATTTGACCCTTATTCCTTTAATTTAATTTTATGGTCTACAGTGGATCGCTATTTATGGTAAAAATACTCAAAAAAAAAGTTTTGAACAGAAGTCAAAATACTCAAATATGTATTCATATCAAAAGACAGAAGTGAGGCTGTTATTATTGCAAGTCTCAAAGGAAAATTCTATTCACACCACCTATTTTGCTATTTGCACCACCTATATAATAGGTCAAATAACTTTATAGGTGGTACAAATAGCAAAGTGCTATTTGACCACCATTAATAAATGTGGTCAAAAAGTAATATTTATTATTATTTTTTAAAATCAACATTAAAAAAAATAAAGAGAGAAAAAAGAAGGAGATCCGTCACCTTCTCTGGTGAGAAGGCGACGGACTGCCTTCTCACCGAAGAAGGCGACCCAGGTAGATTTCTACCGGGTTGCCTTCTCCGGCGAGAAGGCAGCCCACAGTGGGTTGCCTTCTCCGGTAAGAAGGCGACCCACTGGGTTGCCTTCTCACCGGAGAAGGCAGCCCAGTTACCTTCTCCGGTGAGAAGGCAGTCCGTCGCCTTCTCACCGGAGAAGGCGACGTTTCATTTTTTTTTTTAATTAAATTTTGAATTAATTAATTATTACTTGAATCTAATAAATGCAGTTTTATTATGGTGGTGCAAATAGCATTTTGACCACTCATTAGGCTATTT